AGCCAAGAACCAGAGAGAATCGCCAGGAGCGTGTAAAAATCCGATGTCACTACTGGGGACACCAGGTAGGGGGGGATCTTTCTGGCCCCTCCCTCTTCAGAAAAGTGATACACAATCATAATTTATGTAAAACCAGTTGCATACATTGTGAAACACATTGGGTCTACTCCTTGTCAGTGTGAAAAAAGAAATTTAAAAATGCATGTAGGAAATGAAGACAGAGGAAAACTAGGATTTAGGAAGAAGAACCACGTTGAAGGGCTTAGAGACTGCTGGGTCCCAGAGAAAGTAGCAGGCGTCCACACTTCCTCCCGCTCACACACGTTCGCATCTTCACAGGCTTACGTGCCCGTGTGCGCACGTGTGCATAATATTTTTTTATCGACTACACTCGTGATAGCAAGTCATTGCTCTCCTGGATATGTCATCCCCAAGGAGGCCTATCTGGGTACAATATTTCAAATTGCAAATCTTCTTAACCCCGCACTCCTGATCTAACTCCCAGCTCTGTTTTTTCCCCCACAGAACTTAGCATTTTCTTTCGTTTACTTATTTAAAATGTTTACTGTTATTGTTTGTCTCTCCCCCACTCGAATGCAAGCACCACAGAGAAAGAAGACTTGTATCCATTTTGTGTACCGAGGACAGTACCTGATACATAGCAGTATGTGTTCAGTTGCAGCACATTCGTGAGGGAGAAATAGGAAGACGATCTGGACGCGGCCAGCTGCCTAGGTGTTCCAAGAAGAGAGACGAAATCTGATGCAACTTTGTGATCTCATCCGCATTTTAAACCACAGTTGGATTCTCTTGCTCTCATCCCCTAGCTTTTAAAATGGTTCCAGTCAAGCAGGGTTAGGCATCTTTGTGAAGTCATTAATGTGTCACGTTTAAAGGCTGAATTTTGAAGGTAGTACAAAAAGTGGGGGGAAAAACGTGGGCTTTAGAGAAAACCACTTGCTTGTTGCTTGTTAAGGCGTGACTTTGGGCAGATTACTTATCCATAGAAACTAAATTTTGCCATATGTAAAATTAGAATCAAGTGTACTTTGTGTGGACAAAATACACACAAAGTTAAGTGGAAATGCTTAGTCCACTGGTTTATTTGGGTCTCTCCTCCTTTCACCTCATCACCAGAAAAACAGCTTTTATTACATTTTTATTTAATATTATTTGACATATTTTCAATTTAGCTCTAATTTTGGTTCCACTGACCATTTGTTAGGTTATTTTAGTAATTTATGGTAAGCTAAAATTTCACAGATATGTACAAAGAGCCCATATATGGCACTCACCAGGGCATGGATTTTGGGAGACTGTTGGAGAAGGTCTGATTCCCCTCGTGTTTTTCACACAGAAGAACTTGTGTCTTCGTCTTGTCATTCAGAACACCAGCAATGCTGCCCTCAGGGGTTGACATTCTATAGACTTCAGGGCTGGAAAGAATCAATTCCTTTCTTTTGCGTATTAAGAAATTAAGTCATCTATCTGGTAAATTGCAGACTAAAGGATAAGAATTCTAATTGACTTCTTGTTCAGTGCTCTTTCTACCGTATTATACTTTCATCTAAATGAAATGCAAAATTCGATGGTTTTTGTTAGCAACATGACAACGTTGACACAAACTTTTATCACGTAGACTTGACTTTTTGAGCAGGTACTTCAGGCACGGGGCACTGAAGGGTGTGCATGAAAGTTAGCTGCCCTTAGCTCTGCCCCCAGCTGCCGCAGGCCGCCACGACTCTGCGTATACTCCATGTACTCGCCTACTGTTTTACCCAAATGTAAACTTCTATGTACTTTGCTTTTTTCATTGAAAAATGTGAAAATAACATATTGTAAATGATCTGTATTTGCTTCTCATAGCTCCATAACGCCTCTTCTTACTCCCAGATGCCATTAATTACTTGATTGATTTTTAAATTCATGAAGAAGTGCTTATTAAGCACTGTGTTAGGCACTATTCTAGGCTCTAGGAGTGGAGGGTTGAACAAGATAGAAGAAAACCACTGTTTCCCCAGAGCTTACCTTCTTGGTTTAGGATTGGTGATATGGTGTGGGTACAAATAATGGTCCCTAGGATAGACCAGCAGAGGGAGAAATGAATTTCTTCAGATGTGATCAGAGGAATTTTTAAGGAACAAGTGGAAATTTTTCTGGGTTTTAAGTGATGGGTAGAAATTCAACAGGAAGGACTGGGAAGAAATGGTACTCTATCACAAATGTACTGGACTTATTTTTTTGTTGTTTCAGTCTTCTGTGTCTATTCTTTTGTGTGGTAGCACTTAAAAGTTCTGCATTTAAGGTCACCATTTGCTTGAAATTTTGGTAAGTTGATTCCTTTTGGAAATGGCTTATTTGCAAAATAAAATTATTTATCTTAGAAATCTGTTTCTGTTTATTTCCTAATTCTTTTTTCTCCCAATATATTTAGTTGAACTAGACATGAGGATTTTTATAGATGACTTTTTTCCATTTGACCTTTTTCATACAGTTCAAGAGTTTTCGTCTTTGTTTTACATTTTTCTTACAATTTTATATGTGTATGTTGTAATTAGCTATTATTTGCTTAAGTGCAAGTATGTGCTGACAGCAGAGGTCGTCAGCCTTGGCTGTACACTAGAATCACTCGGAGAGCTTTAAAAATACTGAGCTTAAGCCCCACCTGGGTCTAGGGTGTGGCCTGGACACCAGGATTTTCAAAATCTCCTCCGGTGATTCTGTTGTGCATCCAAACTTAGAAGCCCTTGGCTTAAAGTATTTTGCAGGTAACTGAAACATGCTTTCTCTTTTTGGAAAGTAGGTAACTGTGGCTCATCTGCGTGGTGTGATCAACCTGTCATCTCAAATCTCCTCCTTAGAATAAAGTGAAATGTTTAGATTTGGGATGGCAGAATGAAGTCCTTGAGTTTGTCTGAGCACCTTTATTGTTATTCACCAAACTGTAAATGGAATTAGGTAAAGCAAACCTATGGAGACAATAATTTTAAGGCCTTTGAATTCCTGTGTGGTTAGGGGAAGGGATAACAGTTCTTGCTTTGAGCTCCATACAGATTAAAAGTCATTAGGCTCATGTTTAAGTCAGAAATTAATAAGTGTTTTTACAGACTACAATTATTAACTTATTGTTACTGCAGTTAGGCAAACATTGTTCTCAAACTCTCGTTGACTTTGTCACCTACTTTCAATGTAATAAATACTCTGTTCTCATAAGAGGGTCTTTGTTTACTCCAGTAACAAGATGTTGGACAAGGACTTGTAGACTCAAATAGTTACCTCCCTGAGGTATCAGAGAACTTCCAGCAAGAAATCAAACTGAACTTTAGACTCCTCCTTTCTTTTATTCTGAAAAACGATCTAGTCTGTTTGCAGCTTGGAATTGGGAGCTGTCATCAGGTTAGGGATGTTTGCTGTGATTTCACTGTTTGCTTTCAAGTATTGTGAATTCCCAGAGTACACCCGTGTCTCACTATCACTGCAGTAGGCTTGCAAACTTCTTCTACGTCTGTATACCATATTAGCACGCTGTCTGAAAGTAGTGGGACTCAGTGAATAGAGCAGATAACCAAACAGAATTGGGTTCAAAGCCTAAGTTTTCTGTTTATTGGCTGTTACCTTGATTTAGTTACCTTATTTAGGCTTAGTTTCT